ACGAAGGCGGAGGTGGAGGTGGAAGAGGTGAAGGCGGGCGAGTTAACACCAAACAAATTTATAAAGTTTACTTAGTATTTCTTTTCAATAATTACCGAAGCGAAATGATTCGTTTTGTTTTAATTTTGTCCTGAGCGAGCGTTTGCTAACGATTTCATTTGCACTTCATTAGGCCGGAGCCGACACAATTTCGCAATTAAGCAGCTGCCTTAAAAACGATTTCTCAGTACTTTGAACGTTATACTGATTGCTCTTTTATTCTTTTTTTAATTTTAAATTAAAACCAAACGTTGCTTGAAAGAAAAGTTTCCTTTAGGGAAATTTCAATTGTTATTCTTTGGTCTGCAAATGATTAGTGACAAATGAAACTTTATTCCACAAATTATATATGAAGACTATCTTGATCTGTTACGAAAGTAATATTGTTAAATGTTAAAATGCTTTTACTTTTTTTATTATGCAATAATATAATCGACAAATTTTATATATACGAATTTGTTATAAAGGAAGCTAATTGACCAGCGTGAACAAAATCAGATTGAAGTAAAAGCAATTATGTACGATGTGTAAGAGAGCCGCGTACGGAGGGCGCGGGGTGCGTGCGGGGGTCGCGGGGGGTGGGTGCAGGAGACTCACGTACAGCCTCAATGTGCGGGATATTATTGTTGTAATTCAAATGGAAATTACATTTCCGCTGCTCTCGGAGACTCGGAGCCCCTTTTCGCTTTTCAGATAACATTTTATCAATTTGTATCCTGCGGAGTTTCCCTAAATTGGATTTATTTTGTTATACATTTTCCAATATTACGTTTCACCTTTATTCGATAATTACTAATCTCATAATGAGAGTTGGCTATTAATGGACAAAAGATTATAATTCGGTGACAGAAAATTCGTACGATGAAAGAAAAGTTAAGAGAAAAGAATTACATTTCGCAACTTACTATTAGTATTTATTACTGTTTTATATTATAGCTCTGAGCAATTAGATTTGTTTAACTTAAATCACTGACATAATTCTAAACGCGAACACCCCGCAGACGTACATCAGGCGGTTGGGCAATAAATAAGTTGCCGAAACTACTTTAGGACAGATTTACGCATTGCTGTGCTCCCGGCGGTTGTTTTATTCATACGCTTGTTACGAGATGGCTCTTATTTAGCAGCGGTCCATTGCAAGCGGCGCGCCGCTGACGGATATTTATGGATTGTTTTATTTTCATTTGCAGCAAAACACCAGTTTACAAGACCTCATTGGGAAAATGAATTTAGTATCCACAGGATATCTTTAACTAATATCAATTTAAGATATTGATTATTGACGATTTAAAATAATGGAATTGTATAATTAATGTGAACTGATGAACCGCTGCTTGTCTTGGCTGAGGCGAATCAACCTAAAATTATCGAATCAAATCGAACAATTATATCAAAAAGATTTTGGCCGCGACTCTGACCGCATGGAATAAAAAAAAACAAAAATAAAAAGCCTCTCCATCTATGCCAAATTTCATAGAGATCCGTTCAGCAGTTTAGGCTACAAACTCTAACATACATCCATTCATCCATCTAAACTTTCGCATTTATAAAATTAGTAAGATAAAGAACCTTCTTGTCACTTTTCATTGTCACGTACGTTATTTTATAGTCATATATTTGTAACTTAACAAATATCACCTGTAACCGTAAACCGGTACCGTCAACACAAAAGATCCTCCCTCGACTATAAATCACGAAACGCAATAAAGTTACCAATAAAATAAATCTTGGTGACAAAGTACGACACATCGCATGAAATATGACGTGAGTGGGCTCTTAAGGATCCGATATGGGCAACTTACAGCCCCCAGAGTCTCACGTGTACTCCTCGCTCTACTGTTCTCATATTTACTGCTCATACCCTAATCAAACAGTTAAATCGGTGTTATAAGTCGACAGAACTGTAAGTGCCCAAAAATCACCTGCTTTTGTAATGTTCAGTGAACACCGCCACTTCAGTTTTTTAATACGGATTTACATATTTTAATAATAAATTTAAATCCACATTGAAAAGAAAAATCTGAATGTTTTTATATTGGCAGGTCGTAGCTCGGAGCGGATGGGGGCGAGGGCGCTCTCAAACAGTGCCGTTCAAAGGCAATGAGCTTGTTTCCTCGCGTTGGCTTGTTTCAACACGGCCACGGGAATTTCCCTCGCAAATGTATTTATTTCACCGCTCCGTGCAAATATCTGCGGGGAATTATGCAGCGAATGAAATGTTTGATTTAAAAATAGAGCTCCAGGGAAAGTATGCAGCGAATGAAAAGCTGAAATGAAATACGCTCTATGTTGGCACACTTCTGCAAATTTTTACCTCTCAAATTTTTGTGCAAGTCGAAAATTATATTATCATAGTGTAAAGTTCAGAATTCGAATGCACAATTTTTTTAACACTTTAGGAATTTCGTTCTTTTGAATACGTTCAAACATTTTCATTCATAGAGAATACAATCATGATGAAATTACTTTAATACAGTTTCCTAGCAAAAAGCCCTCTACTGCCCTCTACGCGGGCACTGGCACTGCTCATAGACTACTTTACTGTAATAATATGTATCACCTGTTTATGTACAAAACTTTATTCACTAAACCTTTTAATATATTACATATTTTGACAGTGGTAGTGCCCGCGTTAACATCTTAGCACGAATGGGCCGGCACGCCCGGTGTAATACCACGACCACACAGAAGACAGGCGTGAAATGGAAGCAATTCCTTGTTTTGTCTGATGAGTGTGGTGCCGGAGGCCTAATTTAAGTCCCTTCGTCTTTACCATCCTTTTGTTAAAAGGAGAGGTTGGGAAGAGGAAGTGGATTTGACGGTGGAGGAGATGCATGGGAAGGGGAAATACCCTCTTTATGTGCGTCTCCTCCTCCGTCGTATAAGGGTAGGCAACGCATCTGCAATTGCGATGTCTATGGGCAGCGGTCGCTTCGCCATTTTGGCGGTTTCAGGTGGTCGCTTGCTCGTTTGCAACCTTATGTTATAAAAAAATATATACATTATTTTTTATACACATTAAATAAATAAATAAAAGATGCTTCTGAATTATTATTTTATGGGCAAAAGGCCTATAACAATATCCTACCCAATGAGTAAGGGCATCAAAACGAATATGGTATACTCATACCATTTTATTGTTATAGTTGTACATTACTTTATCTTGGGGAAATTATTGAGCAAATTAGGCGAAAAGAATAAAATCATTATGTACTGTAATCTACAATATTATACCGGAAACTAATTATTTAAAATAGCGCCATCTATCGGTTCGATGATATGTGTCCCAGAAATTACAAAGAAATATCTATTTTATATATTATCAGTCATAAAAAAGTATATGAGTTCATATTTTATATGAATAATTAAATATTTTTGGTAAATAATTGAACAAAATTTTTAAAACGTGATCTACACGATCTTGCTAGAATCGATGGTCATGACATCTTGAACTGTCAATGTCAAATTGAAGTTATTGCAAATGTAAACAACGAAAATTTTAATAATTTCATGATATTTTTCAGAATGTAAAGAAGATGAGGTCAGAAATGTCTAGTAATAAGAAATACAGATGTGTTAACTGCGGTGAACCATCCTCCGCTTTATACAAGACATATGGGCCGACAGTTTTAAAACTCACTAAATGTGTGCGTAACTTTATTTGGTTTTATTATTTTATTGCATTTACAATAAATTATTTTTCTTACACTGTTAAACATATTATGTTATTAACAATTAAGTTGTTAAATTAAATATCTTTTTTTATAATTCCAGGTTAGTTGTAAAGGCATAGTTGATAAGTATATAGAATATGATCCTGTGATAGTCATGATAGACCTGGTGCTAATGTCCAAAGAAGCTCAGAGGCACATCCTGTATAACACTGAATTTAAGGTCTGTTCCAAAATAAGTTATTTTTACTAAACTTATAGACCAGACCAGTACTAAAATGTGACTAAAACCACAAACTTATATGCATACAAAACACATTTTTATAATGTCAAATTATAAACAGCTTTTTTAACAAATGATGATGATGGTGTTAGCTTTTTGACTACTTTGACGTATTCTGTATTCTTGAAGGTTGTTAATCTGTGCTATAAATCAGTATCATTTGTCATAATTTGAAATAGCGATACAAGCTTTGTAATTGTGATCCAAAACATTATTTGACATATTTATGACAATAAGAGGTAATGAAGACTATATTTTATTAAGGCATAACATGGCTGTGACGCCCATAATGGAAATGAACTTTACCTTTAGACATTTGCATTTGCAGATATGTTGCGAACCTCTAAACAGTGGACAGAGAGCAATAAACTATGTGGTCCCTACATCTGCCCAATTCACTTCACACACAAAGAAGAGAGGACAAAAGTAGACCTCCAGCACACACTTATGTAATTTCCATCCACTTTACATACATCTTCTGTATTTGCAGGCATACTGGAAGCTCCTTATAATTCTGATGATGTTGGAGACATATGCGGTATGGCGCAAGGACTGCCTGTTCTCACTCGTAGTCAACATGTTGTGCAACAATGAAAGTAATTACACTATTGATGCCACTAGTATGTAAGTAATGAAGTTTCTGTTGAAATAACTTCCTATATTTTAAATGCGAAATTTAGATATTAGTGTATTTGTTAGAAGGTATTGCCTAGATGGTTGAATGGTTCTTGATAAAATTATGTAGAACATATCCTGTAAAAACACAAAGGCTTTTTGGTTATTTATTTCCACACATGCGGTGTCACAGGAAAAAGCTAGTTAAAAAGTTAATTATAGAAAATTTTGTAGTTGTAAAATTGTTCAGAATGGTTAAATAATGTTTTATTGCAAGTAAAGTTTAACAAATTGATGCGTGACTGATTACAGTAACATCCCGCTGAGTGTGTCGCTGCCGGAGTCATGGCGACACCACTGCCGGGGCTGGCAGCGGGACAGCCCCCATGATGACACTGATCTCTTTATATGGGAAAAAGACTTCTATGTGCAGTTTTTATCTACATTTGTTGGTAATTATTAACTTTGTTTACTTAAAAAAAAATACATTTTTCCTCACATAAAGTACTAAAAGACATCTGTTGGGAAAAAAATTGTATTTTAAATGAGTTTCTTGTTTCAGGAATTGTAGTTTTCATCATTACAGTTCACATACTAATGAAATTTGTGCAACTGTTTGGTGAAAGACACCCAGGTACGCTTTGATTAAAATTTTATTTACTAAAACCTAATAAAAATCGACAAAATCACACAACATTTGTGACCGCGCACCAACTCCACTAACACTCGGTCCAGCGCTAATAATCTTAAGGCTATTTATTTAAAAAAAAAAGTATGCTGTAAGATTTTTATTATCACAATTATGCATTTATGATTATAAAAATCTACCTACATTAAACCTGCTGTAATATAGCAATAAACAAACTATGGTCACAATGGTGATAAATAATTTAACACTAGCTGTTCCCGTGCAGCTTTATCTGCATGAAATTATAAAAATTTTATTTCATTGTGTACATTTTTTAATTGGAAAAGTCAAAATTCAAATGCACCAATAACAACAAAGATCTTTGACATTGGATAACAATTGCTGTTACTGTAACAACTTTGCTTCCTTGGTGTTGTCAGCTTGTAGTTTATGGCCCCTTTCTCACATGAAATTTTTTCCAATTTAGGGGGTAAATCCCCCCAAGTTTAATAGGGTGAAAACATATATCCTAAAGCGTGTCGTAAGTTTAGGGCATTTTACTAAGGAGAGAATTCAAAAATAGGCAGTGATTGCTGACATAGTACGTCACGAAGAAATGTTTACGCTGTATTATATTAGATGATATTAAGATGATTTTTTTTATAATATAAGGTGGCAAAAGAGCAAGCGGCCATCTGAATGCACCGAAATGAAAAGCGATCGCTGTCCATAAACATCTGCAATTGCAGATGCGTTGCCTGCCCTTAATAGACCCTCCGTCAAGGTGACACACATAAAGAGGGCATTTCCCCTTCCTATGCATCACCTCAACCGACAAATACACTTTTCCTTCCCATCCTTTCCTCTTAAGAAAAGGGTGGAAAGGGAAAGGGACTAAAATTAGGCCTCCGGCACTACACTCATCAGACGAAACGTGGAATTGCTTCCACTTCATGCTGTTTTCTGTGTGGTCATGGTATAGCACCGGGCGAGCCGGCCCTGCAATGCGGAGATGTTAAAGCGGGCTCTACCACTGTTAATTTAAGTCGTGTGCAGTGTCGTGCGAGCTGCTGCTGAAGGCGTTCTCGCTGGGCAACGCGAGCGCGGCGCTGGCGCTGCCGGCGCTGGTGTGGCGCAGCAAGGAGGGGGCGGGGGCGGGCGCGCACGCCGCGCACTACGCGCTCGCCGCGCTCTACACGCTCGTCTTCTTCTACAATGTCTTCACCGGTAACACTACTGTCATACAACTCTCCGCACCTTTTACATGTTTATCTGCCTTTTCTAATCGCATGTACAGTCGGGGACATTGTCGGTGGTCCATCTTCAAAGCTAGTCGATTGAACATTTTATATGCATTGATATAAGAGACAGTCCCTTAGGACGTAACTTTAAAATGTTAGTGGAAGAACAGGACTATTTTTTTTTATTATTATTCAATCGTTCGCCCGACTTACTGCTGTCTTTTTGGTTATTTATAATAGTAATAAAACATTTTTTCTGGAATTGTAACGCTACAAATACACAATTTAGCTATTTGTGAAAATGATTTAATATGTAAGTTGTGGTGCAGTGGTGTACGTGTGGGGGCGGGGGCGGGGGCGCGCGGCGACGCTGTGCGCGGTGTGGTGCGCGCTGTGCGGCCAGCAGCTGTGCGCCGCCGCCGCCGCGCCGCCGCTGCGCGCGCTGCTCGCGTGACGCAGCACAGTAACAACACACATCACACACTCTTTATTTCAAAACATGTACCATTTTACAAGAAACTTAATGCGGCTATACATAATAACAATGAAATATTATTCAGATCACAAAACACTCGTCGAGCACAAACTTTAATTGGACCGCATTTACATATTTACACTACACATTATTTTAAAATTATTTCTGTTAATTATACAGAAATATGACATTTTTACTTAAACCACAATTATAAGGGCGAGAAAATTTATGAAATTATCTAAAAGATCACATAAGCCTCATATTTTTTTGATATCACTGTTTACAAATAAAACCATGTGATTTGTGTAATTCAAATTTTGCTCTTATCTCAAGAATTTGCAATAAAATTATGTGAATATTTGTTTAGTAAAATTATGTAAAAATGTAATACCAAAGTACAAAAATAAAAAACCTAAGCTTGTGTTTAGCTGCCAACGGCCTGCAGGAGGTCGGCTCATTATATACTATCAGGGAATCTGGCAGTGTTCCACTTTAAAAGATAGTCGTTTGAATATTTTGTAACAACGTAGCTTTAAAATGTGTGCACGAAAAAAGGTTGTTCCGTAGTGCTCGGCCAATTACTTTGGTTATTTTACTTGCAATTGATTAGGTACAAGGCAGCTTTTCTGTAAGTGGGACACCGCGAATTGCCGTGATTGTACTACTTCCCTCTTAGAATTATACATACTTATTCTGTTATGGGTATGTAAAGTAGGAATTTATTTATATACTTAAAATAAAAACATAGTTTTAATATCTACTGAGAATAAAATACAATATCATCTATGGAATGAGATTATTTTACAACCCTTGGCTTTCACCTCCCAACATAAATAGTTTGGAAAAAATAACCAATTGTAATTGTATTTCATGCTTCAAATATGATTAATTCTAAAGTAAGGAATTTAAACGTAAAATATTTGTCATTTAATTGCCATCGAAACATAAAATACTAATACTTTAAATGTATGCAGCCATCGCTTAGAAGCATACACAAATATATTTGAACATAACAATGCTGTCCTTACAAAATCAATTTATTTAAATAACTACATTTCTTAATCTGATTAGCTAAGATAATTTCTATTTTAACATCCAAAAAGTCACAAAAACAAGACTCAAAGGCATTTACAATAAAAATTCTTAAACCAACTATCATCGGAAAAATATTAATAATAGATGTTGTCTTGACTTGTGTCAAGGTTGTAAATTGAAATGTATTAATGCCTTTGTTCAAAATAAAACTCTAATATCTAATTGAAGAGTTCATAATTATATAGAAAGGCAAATTCTTAATAAAATAATTTATTTGTAATTTTGTGCAACATTTCTATGTTCTGGTAACTCTTACATTTACATGTATGCAATAATGTAATATGCCTTAATATTATTTTTATAAGGAAGATAATATTGTCCCCATTTTCATCGAATATAAACTCACATTGATTGTTAAATCTGGTAATTTTCCTTATTGTTGTGTGTTACTTTAAAAACCTATCTCAATAATTATTATTTGTGGATTTTGTCCCTGATTATACATAAAAAATTTAGGAACCATTTTAATATTCTTAAAAAAAGGTAATAAATTATAAGGTAGTTTAGACAGAGGAAATTTTTGGAGAGATCAGTATAGTTTTGTACATTATATCTACCAATATGATACAAACTAAGTTTTACAGAAATAGTAAGAAGCACATCAAAAGTATGCCTTGTATAGCATATTATCAATTATGTATGGTATTTAACTTGGAATAAGTCAATTTAAATGATTATTTGAATACAATTAACAAATGAATGATACACACATTTATAACAAAGAACAATAATTACACTTCAGTTCTGCTTATCTTACAAATGATTAATAAATGTCAACATTTCTTAATTAATCTATACAAATAAATAATGAATGAGTATATTTAAGGGCTTAGCGGAGGATCATCTTGACCAATCATGACATCTTCATATGTCACATCATTATTCCTTCGGGAATCAATTTTCTGTCGAGCATATTCAATCAGATTGTACTTTCTCACCACCAGCACAAGGCCGCCCACGATTAGTGCAACGGCGAATATACTCACGACTGCTGTGGTCACGTCGTGACTCGACATGTAAGAGCTTGGCGTCTGGCATTCATCACCAACTTGATAAAATCCTTCCAAACATTCACAGCTCCCCGTAGTCTGGTTACAAAACTGATTTTCCCTCAGGCACGGCTCGAGGGAGGTCACATTGCACGACAGGATGAACTCTGTTAAAAAGAACACGCTGTAATACGGACACTGATTGATTCAATTAAATAATTGTTCAATACATACCCATACATATGCAGAGTGTGCATATTATTATAATGACACTATCTGTTGTTCTTAATCCCATATTTGCAGCGTTACTTTTAACGAATTAACATCACAAATTATAACGGGATAATCCGCTTTTTTCTATATTTACCGGGCACTGAATGTTGCGACGATCCCACAGCGAAACAGAAACAAGATATTTGTCACTGTCAATGTCAAACATTGTTGTTTGTCATCTTTCAAAAACGTTTTGATACTGCTTAGTGTTCCCTGGAGCATTTTGACTCGTAAAAAAAAACTAAACTGGTTTAAAGAATTCGTATGTTTTGAATAGTTTTTTACATATTACTTTTGTATCTGAAAACATCCTTAATAGTAGAAAACTACTTTTTAATTGCATGTTGTAAATAATGTTTTTAAGGGATAACTTTAGTTACGACTTTAGACCAAAACGTTCATCACATTTCTTTTAACGCTTAGTAAAACATGGTTTATTGTTTTTACAAAACTTTCCCGAATTCCTTCTTATTGGTTTATTTTATATATGACTATTTAAGCTGCTGAACATGAAGAATTATAAAGTATCCGAACAATTCAAACACAAAATAAAGTTATAGACTGAAAAGACAATTTATTTATTAGCTACTTATAAAATACGAATCAGTCGAATTGTAGTTGTTTTAATTTTTCTAACACAAATATTATGTACGTAATTTATATTTGGATATTCGTTCAGACTCTTCCTGAATTGGAACACCTCTTTAATCATAACACTAGGAAATCTGTTGTTGCTTTAAAATCTAATTACACCATTCTTTAAAAGTTATATTCTTCTCCTGCACCATAAGTGTATTTTTCAGGCAGTTTGTAATCATCTGGGTTATGGCCGTGAGCTTCTACCCCGCCGTTGCCATCGCTGCCTCCCAGTCTGCAAATAAGAAAATAAATGTTTTTTGCTGTCTCCTTGTAAATGTCACGGCATGCTATCATTTTAATATAACTATACATACTTTAGTTCCTCATTCCGTTTCTCTTCCCCATCTTCTTCGGCAGCTTCTTCATTGCCTCTCTCTGGTTCTGCTTCGTGATATTTTTCAGCTGAAAAGATTCATTTAAATTCACTCTAATTTCAGAAGAATGAAAACAAAAGTCCTTTTTGTAATAACTGTAATTTATTGTTACATTTAAAATTAAGTGGAATAAGTAAAAAAAATACTAATAATAGTAAGAAACATGGCACTATGTGGGTGGTGTTTTGTAAATGAATATCTAATACAAACTTTAAAAAAACCATTTCAAGAAACGTCTCAAAAACTTCTGCGGTCTCCTGATAAGTGGTCGAGACCTAAGTTCACCTTTCTCTTGTGGCTGGCTGTGCGCTCCGGCCTGCTCTTCCTTGTCGAGACCGTATGAGTCCTCCTTCTCGAACTCGTAGTGGTCACCCGCCTTTTTGTGGAACGAGTCGAAGTGCTGGTAGCCCTTTTTACCACCACCTGACTTTTTGCGCGCATACCCGATCTCACCGTCGCCTTCGTTCTCGTACGACTTGTGGTAGTTATCAGGCTGGAAAGAAAGTCACACAAACAATTAATGAAGATTAGATTGACATCCATATCAAAACAGATGGCGTTGTAGCATAATGTAAAATCCGTTTGTAACGTGCTCCCAAAATTTGGTTTATGTATGAATTCTTACTGAGGCCGCTCGCACTTCTCGAACGTACGTGCCAACGGACATAGTGTCATCTGCCATCTGCAGATCGTCGAGAGTCACTGGCAGGCCCAGCGCCATGTGCAGCAGTGCCAGAGCTAGCAGTTGTAACTTCATTGTCATTCAATCTAAAAGTAAAGTTGAGTTTGTTTTCGTTATTTATGTCTAACACAATTCTAGTGGTTTGAATACTTTGGTTTTGATTAGAATTTTCATTGAAAATCTTTACATTATTCGATAAATAATAATAGTAGTGTCGAAGTGGAGACAAATAAAAGTAAAATGTAAGAAATAATTTCATCTCCACAAAAATGTTAAACATCTAGTTCTTTTTTACCTTTTCAATTTGGTGGACAAAAACAAGTTCTCTCACACCTGGTCGTACAATACAATAAAATCTGCAATACAAACTGTTTATTTTATATAACGTGCATTGCAACCGACGTCATCTTTCACAACGGTCGGCTGCTTGTGCTTTGCAAAATGAAACGGCGCCGCCATGTTGCGCGCGAGACTTTTTTCTCGAATGTTCAGTGAAATCTTTTCCCACAGCTCCCGCTGCGGTCCACTGATCTGTCACGTAGCTTATAACAATCAGTAATTCGATTCAATTTCTTTTTAATCAAAAGTTCAAGGACGGTTAACGATTACGTTTACTTTTTCTTTATGTTCTTGCTGTACTCGTATATCGGGGACTTTTAAAATTTAATTTAACTATCGATTAATTAAACTAATACTACAGTTGACTTAAAAGTTTCCGCGGCAAATCAGTTTGCTGTTAAGTATTCACAGCGCGAAAGTAACATCATCAACCTTTCAGATAAATAGTACAATATTAAATCATAGCAACCTTTATATTTTGAGAGCGCGCTTGAATAGATTAAATACAAATGTATTTAGATGAAATCTGGCGGACGGAGAGCGACCTTCAACACGACGGGACAAAAAGTTGACACCAATACGTGATAATACTATTTAGAAATTGTAGTTACGAAATTATTCAGGTCTGATTTAGTGCATGGACCTAATTACAAAATCAATTTGATTGAAAAAAAAACATATATGCGGTTGGTAACAACTTCTGCATGAAAAAGGATAAAAACAAAATCAAATTAAAATAGGTTTATTTGGTCGTCTATTTGTTTTAATGTAATTTCATGTTACTGTTAAATTCCACTGTCATAGTACTTGAATTAAAACATTGATGTCTCTATTTGTTCAAAGTTAATGAGATGGTTGACAGTATGTTTTCCTACAAGTGCTGGGACAGAGGAATG